AAAAAATTTTTTATTTCTTCTTTCAAAAGTGACTTCAATATTTAGCTTTTTTCTGGAGCAGCTTTAAATCAACTACAACTCTCTCTACTCTTAACATGTCTTTAATACTTTAAAACATCTCAATTAGAATCCCAAACAACATAATTCATTTTTTTATTCATGTCTGCCAGATGTGTATGATTACACTTGATTAAATTTGAAATTATTTTCATATTGTGGAGGACTTCTGTGCACTTCCTTGGCTTCCTGCTGTTAGTTTTATTGTTGCATGTCTCTTACCCTGAGGTCTTAATTTGGCAAACAAGGCATTGACATGAGCCTAAATCTCCCTGTGAAAAATGATTACATTTTATAAGCATAGTACCATTTTGACTGGTTTAACAATCTCCCCTCTTCCTGCAGGAGCTCTTCTATGAGGATAGACATTACCACGAGAACTGTTTTCGCTGTTTCCGCTGCGACCGATCTCTGGCCGACGAGCCCTTCACCAGCCAGGCCAACGCGCTGGTGTGCAGCGACTGCTACTGCAACGAGTTTTCCTCCAAGTGCGTGGCCTGCGACAAGATAGTCATGCCAGGTAGTGACAATAAAGACTGCCTGTGTCACTTTTTCACCCCCAAACACCAAGTTCACAAACCTCCTTGGGGACAGATTATTGTGTAATCTCTCAAATAGTCTGAAAGTTCACACCCTGTCTTTGCAGGGATAAAGAGGCTAATGAGTTTTTGTGGGGCGTGACAGCTTAGATGTGACAGAATGATTGTTTCCTTGCTCTGCTGAAAATATCTCCCAGCAGGGTTTTTTAGCTCTGAGCGCTGTGACGACACAAGTGGTGGTGTCGGATGACTGAAAATTACCCGGGCCTGTGGGTAGTGTGGGATATTATAACTCACCAGTTCTTTTCTGAACTGAGCAGTCATTTTCTTCAGTTTCTGTTCAGCTTGGAATGCTTTTAAAAGCTGCTGCCCTCACCCCTGTTTTTTTTTTTTTTATAAAGTGCAGCCAAGTTCAAGTTCAAAACACCGTCATGCCTTTGGGCTGCATTTCAGGCCCCAAAAGTCGTAAAACAAGGCCAGTGATTAAAGACGTCCAATTTCATAAGCATAACTGGCTCCTAACTTTTATAAACATCTGAAGTGAAGTGTGTGTTTCTTAGCAAACGTTTACATATATGGGAGTAGACAAAGACCCACTTGAAATGGCTAAACTCATAAATCAGTGTTAGGATGCTGTGCAGCTAGAGCATTGCTTTGTAGCAGCTTGTCAGATTGTTTGATGCAAGATAAGCTGATGTAATTGTACGGTGCAGGAGGGCTGTGTAAGAACAGGTTTAGCCGTCACACTGAATCACTTTTGGTCTTCTCGGTGTTCATGTGAATCGGATTTCTTTCCAGCACATAGTTACAGCACAGTAAGGCAGACATCAAAGGAGTGCCCGAAGTGACACACAGGTTTTGCAAATGTCAGGAAGGTATCAACAAACAATCACAAACATCTCAATTTCTGTCTCTCTCTTCCACTGTTTCTGTTTCTCTCTGACAGGATCGAAGATGTTGGAGTACGGCGGCTCCTCGTGGCACGAGGACTGTTTCGTGTGTCACGGCTGTGAGAAGCCGATCGGTGCTGAAGCCTTCATCCCCGACAAAAACAACTACTACTGTGTGCCGTGCTACGAGGGCAGGTTTGCTCCTCAGTGCAGCCACTGCAAAAAGGTGAACCAGGCCTCACATGCAGCCTGATGGTCGATGTTGACCATTAATTAACTCTTTAAACATTTTATTCTCATTATTGATTGATCTGTTGAGAACTTTCTAAATCCAGAGCCCAAGGTTACCTCTCTAAATGTCTTGTTTATCCAACCATCAGAACCAAACACCCAAATATTTTCACTAAAAACATTTAAAAAAGCAGCAAATCCTCACATTTGAGTAAGAAGAACCAGAAAATTTTAGTTTTTTTCTTGTTAAATGACATAAAAAAAGGTCCAGTTTATAGGATTTAGTGGCATCTAGTAGTGTCGCAACTACATCGTCGCTTAAAAAAATGCCCCCGTCTAGAGCCAGTGGTGTGGTTTGTCTGTTCTGGCAAACATGGCAGGCGACGCACCAGCGTCTGTAGATAAAAACGATCAACTTATTGTATAATCAACTAATTGTTTAAGCACTAAATACATTTTAAAAGTGCTAATCATAGAAACAGTTTGTTTTACTGTAGAAAATATAAAACATAATATCAATTGAATAAAAAAAAATATACAAAATAAAGTGTATTAGCCAAGCAATGAATTACAAGTCAGTTAACAATGACAATAAAGGGCTTTTTTTCTTCAGATGACAGACTAACATTGATCTGACATCATAAATTCAATATAAAGACTTTTTCCTTTTTAAACTTTTTAAGTGTTTGTGAGCTCATTTACAGTATTTTGGTTGGTAGTCCATATACATGTACTTCAATATGTCTCAGTGCCTGGTTTGAATTTCAATTCAGCCTTGTCCAAGTGGATAACGTTTATCATCTTTTTTTAAACATCCAGGTGTCAGATAATAGGATAAATATGGGATTTAAATCTACAAAAAGAACTGGGCAGAAAGCACGAGCAGTATGACCTAATGAAACTCAAACACAAAAGGAAAAGCCAACAGAGACATCACAGCAGCAACAACTCTGTACCAAAATGCTTCCAGGTGGACACATTTTACTGATACAGTCTGTGTTTGTGTCCCACAGGCTCTGACTAAAGGAGGGGTGACCTACAAGGACGAGGTGTGGCACAAGGAGTGTTTTCTCTGCACCGGCTGCAAAGCTCCTCTGGCCGGCCAACCCTTCACCTCGCAGGGAGAAAGTCCGTACTGTGTCAAGTGTTTCAGCAGCCTGTATGCCAAAAAGTGTGCCGGCTGCAACACGGCCATCACAGGTCAGTGGACTGTACCAAGAGTTGTTGTTGGTTGGTTAACACAAGAGGTTGTGGCACAATATCTATCAATTCTTTGTCGTTTATCATCTCAAATGTTCTCCCAAGGATTCCTGTCTGTCTCGACTATCTACTATCCGTAAAATGCCAAAACAATTATCTTCAACAAACAGGTGCAGTAAAGGTGACTCAGGGTTTAAATATTGGCTCTGATTCTTACTGTGTGGTTTGTTTGCATATATCCTCCCTTTGTGTGGCAAAGTTTCTTCCTATTGTCCAAAGAAATCTCTTCACAATAAAAGCCACGCCATGTTGAATGCTTTTGATGTGGACAAGCAGCAATAGAACATGTTCTATTTGAACTGGCAGTAACTTAATATAGTAAATACAACAAACAGTGAGGCTGATATCAATGAGATAGAATTACAAAGTGTAATCCTGGATTACACACCACAATGTTTCCTGTGTATGTGAATATGAATACGAGTGTGTGTGAAGCACTTTCAATTCCACTGGGGAATGGCGGACACTGCCACTTACAATCAAAACTACTACACAGAGAGGTAATTACTGATATTAATGCTAAAATGATGACCATAAATTATATCAAATATAGGTTTTGATTTAATTAACTTTAACCTTGCAATAACACTTGGGGGCAGTAGATGCACAACACTGACATAAAAACCTATTAAGTTAATATAGAAAACTTGTAAGCAAATAGTTATTTATTTAAACATCCAACAGTTACAGAACAACACTATTATTCATTCATTTATAGTCATGTTTCTGGCCACCTGATAAATATTCATAATAGTCCAATATTCACTCTGTTGTAGCTCAGTTTTTGGTCTCCACCAACTCCTGAGGGAAATATCTGGCTTCTTAGCTGCTAAATGTTCCACTATGTCCATCAGTTAGTCTCTAACTGTGTCTGGTAATGTACTGTGGGGAAGTGCCATCTGATAAATTGTTCTCATAATCATATCGCTTGTCGCCACTTTAAAGACATTGTGTGTAGATGAGCTTCAGCCTGGCAACACAAAAACAAGCATCCTGAAAAAAACAAACCACAGACTGAACTAGTTTTCATCAGGAGTGTAAAAACTTACACCTGGAGAATTTAAAAAGATTATATAATCACATAAAAACTCAACACATGGTTAAGTGAGTCAGAACATTTAAGATAATGCAGCAATACAACAAGGACTATTATCTTTATCTCACCTCTTTGTGGTGTTGGCAAAGAAACTTTACATGCCAGAGTTAAATGAGAACTTGAATTAGATGCTTTTGACCACAGCTATGAACTGGCAGTGTTTTCTTATGGTTTACTGCCAAATACTGATGTTATCTTGAATTCATTTATGTCATTTCCGCAATGTTGCAAGGCTGTTATTAAACTCTATTTTCCACCCCTCGTAAAACATTCCTTCATTAGTTGCTCATGTGTTGTATTTGTGTCTCACAGGGTTTGGAGATGGGAAGTATGTTTCTTTTGAGGACCGGCAGTGGCACCAGCCGTGCTTTAAGTGTTCGCGCTGCTCCGTGTCGCTGGTGGGCTCCGGGTTCTTCCCCGACCGCGACCAGATTCTGTGTACAGACTGCAACAACGACGACTGACTACCGCTACACTACACCTGCAGCACTGCTGACACCAGCAGAGAAACTTCTAAAACCTCAGCCTTGCACATGAACACTGCAATATTATTAATTCACTCACAGTGTAAAGCTGATACAAAGCTCAGTATTTACAACTCTCATCAGCTTTCAGCACATTGAAATGTATGTAAAAATTCTGCAGAAATGTCCTGTGATGTATGTGTACGACTGTTTTTCTTTATTTTATATGTTTTGCACATCAAAGACTAAATAAGATATTAAAAAAAAGATACATTTTACTTAAACTGTTTATTCGTAAAAAGGTGGAAATGCACCATTTTATAATGTTTTTTTCTTGACTGCTAGATAGAACCAAAAATTTGAATGTTATGACCTTTGCTTGGCAAACATTTCTTCTTTTTAAATATTCAAATTTATAAAAGCTGTCCGTCATCGTCTTCCACTGCTTAGTGTATGTAAACATATTTGCTGAAAATGAACAGTTTATACTTATATTTTGTTGTCTTTTCAGCTTAAAAACAATCTTTACTGGTGTACATGCAATAAAAAAAGTCATAAAAGAAAGGATGGTGTATTAATTCAATAATAAACCGCGTATTTGCCTACATGAACTGAACTTAATACACAGTAGGTGTTAGTTAGCATATAGACCTTTCAGGTGGTTTGCAGAGGAAATAAAATCTCTGGTCTACAGCACTCATTGGTTCACTGCTGCACACAGTTGTGTTTTTTTTTTGTAGTGAGTTCAGGCCTTTTGAGGCTCTAATAAGAGCCATGTTAGTGGCAGCGTGAGGCTGTATTTACACACAGCGGTGCTTTAAACTAGATGCTAACACCAGCATGCTAACAAGCTCACAGTAACAATGCTTTTATGCTGAAGCAGGTATAAGGTTTACCACGTTCTCAATTCAGAGGCCACATCCATCAGTTTAGCATACTGACTTTACAGAATCTCAGCTGAGGGGGAAAAGGAGCCTGAGAACCAGTTCACAACCGCATAACAGAAGACAAACACATCTTACAAGTACTTTCAGAATGAAAAAAAAGCCTCTAACTATAAATAAATGGATACTAAAGGGTTTCAATAGAAATGAATTAATAACAAAACTAAGCCTGCAGGCAGGTAATTGGTAGGCAAGGAAACCTCTTGCACGAATGACATTTAAAATCTGCCCTGATGCAGGTACTAAGGAGGATCTATGTTCACTCAGGGTTTATGCCCAGAATACTCAATCACTTTCAAACAGAAACAAGAGAGACAGCAAAGAGCTCTCAACGGGGCCTAAAGACCAGAGCTTCTGGCTGACTGTGTCTGTTAAAGTGAGCTCTGCACTAAATTAGTGCACTAAAAAGAAGCTCATAACGCCCTGAGCGTGCAGTTCCCCGCCTCTCTTATGCCTTAACGAACGGCCGACATCAGTTAAGAGAAGTTTCACTCAAAACTACAAATGTCAACCTCATTATGGTACAAGAGGACAAGTCAGATGATCACCAAGTCATTAGGATATATCGACTGGGAACCTTTGGATGCCTGAACTCTCATGGCAATACATGCAACAGTTGTTTATTGTATGTATTTCAGTCTGGATCAGTCATGGACCAACCAATGTGTCATCCCGAGAGCAAAAAGCCTTCAAACAGAACCATTTTGTTGAAGTGGTCACAAAGCTAAAATGTTTTTGAACCACTGCTCTGCAATCAGAAATGTCAATGTCACATTTATTATTATTGTGTATCAAAGGTTTCTCTTTAACTGGAGTGTTTAAAGTCATATTTCTTGATTTGTTTTCTTGTCTCACTAAGAAAAATATTACAAAGCCTCTTAATTCCTCTCATGAGGTGCATCAAGAATCTTAAACTAAATATTCCTTTTAGCTGACAACCATTTAATCTTTTTAAACAGTCCTGAAACTGTCTTTTAAAATTCAGGGAAAAGGTTCCTCTGTAAAACCCTTACCCCATTTCCCAAAGATGGTTTTCTGCGGGGAGTCCCATGCAGACTTTCCCTTACTATTACTTACATAATCCACATAAATATTTACAGTTCAGAACTTCTGTACTGATCTGCTCTGATTGTGTTTATATGGAGGCTGTGCCAGGCTGGTTGTCCATGTCAGGAGGAGGGAACAAAAAAAAAACAGCTGACAAGATGATGGACAGTTTAACGATTTCCATAAATGTGATTTATAGCATTTGGTACTTTTTCTACAGTCTTGATGTTAACTAAAATACCTTAAACCTGCTCTTTATACCTAAGTGTCAAGAAAATATCTAAATTAGACAGAAATAAAGGGGCGTTCTTGTGGGAAATAGTACAACAGCCTATATTTGATGTTTAACAATGATATGAAAAAGACTAAATATACAGCGTTGACCCTGACAGGTGCTAATGTGAATATATGAGCGCTCTTCTCACTCCAGGCCTCTGGTATTCCCTCATAAACTGAGAACTGTATCTGTCAAGAAGTGATATACATTCCTGTGACTTCCTGCTTTTGATCATCATTTACTGCCGAGTGTTAAAAGTTGACTTGCTGCAACAGGCCTGTTCTTTAAACCCTCTTAAAATCTTATCACAAGATCAACTCCAGATGAAAAATTAAAAAAAAAAAAGGTCTGTGTGGTGCTGTTATTTGTTTGAGCTTTTCCCATGACTCTTCCTGAAATATTTTTGACCTTGTTTGCGGGGATGAAGGAGAACAGTCTTGTTTGGTCCCAGGAGGAGGAGGAGGAGGAGGAAGAGGAAGGAGGAGGAAGGATTGGGGGTCGAAGCGCCTCAGTGAATATTTAAGATTTCACGTCATCCCGCTCAGCCTCTGAGGGGGCCGGGGGACTCAAACTCAGCTGGATCCCGCTGGTGGAGGCTGTTAAAGTAATTAGTTGACATTACTCTGACTGACAGACCGCGGAAGAAGGAAAAAGGGGGCTACGCCTCGCACAAGACCCTACGGCTTCTACAGTGTTTGTGCTGAATACTTCTTAAAGTCATCTAAGGTCCTTTTTAGATATGTGTGCTATCAACAGGAATTCACATTGAAGCATTTGCCAGCTCAGTGCACTCTGTTCGTTGGGTTTAACCGGCTGTGACTTTTTGAATGATGAGGACTATTCTGAATTACAAAAAGCAACATAAGTCACTTACCCCTCCAGCCAGGCACATCATTTCCGTGGTTTTCAGATCTCCATCCTCTCTTTCTGCCTCTATACCAACATAATGGTTTTTAAAAATGTTAAAATGAAACAGCAGCATCTCTTTCAGAAAAATGGGGGCTATTTCTTTGGTAGAAGACAATGAAAACTGTTGACAGGGATGTCTGTGGTTTATCATCTGTAATATTCTGCATTTGTTTTCCTTGTTTCTGGGAAATTAGTTTTATTTTTTAGCCCAAAAAGACAAATAATCTTGTTGAGCATGTTTTGCATTAGTAATCTGGTTTTAATAAAAATATATGTTGTTTTTAATAAGATATTAAAGCTAATATTGATTTGAACAATGGTTTACATAATATCCCAACAGAGGAACAAGATTATTTTCCATATTTTAAGAGTAAGAAAACTTGCACAACTTCTCAGTTTAAGAGAAAGTCGTCTTGTCCCAGTGTTGGAAATGAAGAAGCTGTTTAGTTTAATATTTAAAAATAAAAATAAGAATGTTTCTGGTGGCTTTATTTAAGACAAAGTCACTTATTTTTTAATATGCAGTTTGAAGAAATTGTGTCTTCTTGTAAGATTTCTTCTTAAAATCGACTCAGTAAAGACACTAAAATAACTTAATTTACAGAAAGTCTGTTTTAAATAACTGAGGTTTCATTGCTTGTAATAAGCACAACTTGCTTAAATTCTTGGCTTTTTTTCTACTTTTAAGGCCTTTACAGTCTTTCAGTGGCTACATTTTCATGCTAGTTTTAAGATTTCTAGCTTACCCAAAAGAGCATTTGATTATATTAAAGAATATTTGGCTTGTATCTAGAAGGGGTGTTTTTGCAGTGAGCATCACAAAAGAAAAAAAAGTACAGATACCTGAAAAAACTACTATTTCTGAAGTACAGTAACAAATTATTGACTTCCCACCTCTTGTTTTACTCCAAGTGGCCTTAATTCATCAGGGAGTTGTAAAAACAAGACTTGACAGACAACACAGCAGATTAAAAAAGCTCCATTTCCAGGAAAAGGTCAGCAGGGTTGAAGTGAAGTTGTTTGCAGTAGTTCGCTTTCTGTCAAAGGAATCATTATTCAAAGCTGCTGTCTCTTCATAGTAGGACTAAACACACACGCTGGTTTTCAAACAACATAACATGATCATTTATTTAGATCAAGGAGCTTCCCAGCAGAGACATCGACTTTTGGACCACATTTGCATGTTAAGAGTCAAACTCAAGAGCATTTGGCAGCAAAGAAAATTCTCTTAAGCCACTAGACTAGAGTTTGCATTTTCCTTATTTGTTCTAAATTGCTAATCTGGAACAGAAATACAAGAATGACTTGAACACCACACGTTTGAATTCAACTTCAGGAATCTTGCTCGGCTCCAAAAAAGCTCAATTAAAGTTTGACTTTTGGTCAGTTCTTTCCAGATAATTTCCCAAAGTGACAGGAAATGAAACAAAGATTTGCTGCTAGGTGGTGAAACACACATTGTACATTCATGCCTCATTACTCACACACCCCGACCTTAAACGTGTGGAATGTATTCTGGTGTGAATGTGAGTTTCCAGCCAGATCGGATTACGTAGTAGGTGATGTTGAGCAGTCTGAATGTGACTTGTGAGTGAGTCATGGGTTGACATGTAACCCGGTCTCAAACCACAGCCTCTGCAGTGTCTATGTGCTGGGTGGCTGAAGTAGACATGGGAGGAGATGAGGAAATAAAGCTGCTGGGAGAAAAATGTGCAGTATGTCTCCAAACCTGTGTTAATGCTCAATGCACTGTCATTAGCTATGAATCACAAACAGGTAAAGAAGTGGAGGCCCCAAGTGAGGCCTGCTTATGAAGTGAGGAGGGGGAAGCATGAACAACTCAACTATATCTCCATCTTAGAGCAATGAAGTCGTGAAAAGGCTAAAATACAACCATGCTAGCGGCTCCTGTGAAGTTACAAGCAAATATCAGCATGCTAACATGCTCACAATGATACACTTTGATGTTTAGCAGGTCTAATTACTACAAACCGGTCTTAGTTGAGCATGTTAGAATGCTTACATTTGCTTATTTGCAATTAACACAAAGGATGGCTGAGACTAATTATTAATCTATCAACCTCATATAGTGTTTTATACCAAATTAGCTCCTTTTAAGATTCTTGCAACCGGCAAATCAGCCCGCGTTTTCACCACTTTTGGGCACAATGCACAACGACCTGTAGAGAATATTACACGCCAACTTTGGTTCCCAAGGAAAATTATTTGGTTCCAGCTGGGAACCAACTTTTCCACTTCAGAACCAATTTATGTTTGGTAGAAATGCTCAATGGTTTAAAAATAGGTACACGTACCGGTGGAAAAGGCCTAATAGTGACCAAGCTCCCAGAAAGAGTCAATTTGACATAGTGGCCCAACTGTGTAATTACAGCAACGTTGTCCGTCACATGATGCACACTTTTCCCCATAAGGTCATATTGTGAAAGAAGCTGCTGTATAACAGTGGATAATTTTTTATTTATGCATTCATCTGGGTTATTTCTTTACAGTGGGAAGAGGCTTTATGGCTTCATGTACCTCCAACGCTGTATCCAGTTCTCTTAACACATTTAGATCGTGACCCTGAATGAGAAGTCAGAGAATCTCGTGACCATGCATGTCTGTACAACACTTATTTGCTAATCTCTCCGGCAGATGTTGAAAAGTAATGAGTGAAAACTTTCATCAGCAGATCACCAAAGTCAGTATGATTCATCCTCCTGGGACCACGAATACCTGTACCACAGCTCATGGCAATCCATCCTAACGATTGAGATATTTCACTAAAAATCAATCACATAACTGCCCCTGAAGCAAACTTATAGAAGTTATCCTCAATGTGTGAGATCTCCAACATCATTAGGATTCATCCTCCTGGGATATTTCAGTCTGAACCAAAGTGGTGGACCATAATGCTAAGTGCCTGCTGGAGAAATAGAGCAGTACACAAGTCATCGTGTCATTCATACCAAGATGAAATGTGACTCTGGGATGGAGCGTTGGTGGAGCAGCATCAAACCGAGGAGCGCATTCCTGGGATGGACTCTTCCCAGTCAGTCTCTCCATCATGTGTGTTTGTCAGCAGCTCTGGTTCCTCGGGGCGCCGGTCTCCATCCCCCCATGTGGTGATGGAGTTGTGACTAATGTGCAACTCATTGCAAAATTCAAATACTTCCAGTTTTGAGTTACTTTGAGGTGAAGGAGCTTTTAAAATATGCAGGTTTTAATCCCCAAAAAAGGAGGAGGAGGATAGAGGAATGGCTCACCAAGACAACCTGAAAGAAATAGTTTGACATTTTGGGAAATATGCTTCCCCACCCCTGAAATCTGATTGGCCACCTCATTATCTTTACCGCTTCCACTCTGCACTCTTTCAGAGGCTGTAGCTGAATATCATATGAAAACTAGATGACCTAATGCCGAGAGAGGGGCTAAATAATGCTCCAAAGATGGAAAATTTGCTTCAACTTCTCTCACTAAGCACCTGTTAAAAAAACGACATCAGTGACCTCCTCGCTGTTATATGAGAAAAACCTAAAGCTTATACCTTACCTTACCGACAGTAGTGATTATTTACTACCACTTTTATTTCTGTTTTTCACGTTTCTACACTTATGCGGGTCGTTCTATGCCTTTATCTTCTGTAAAAAAGCATTGCACTGCATCTTTTCATGTGCTGTAATTACAGTTCCATTATCATTATTGTATTGTTTGTGCTCACTGATAAAAAACTTCCAATTTCTATAAATAGAACAATTTTAAATTGTTCACATACATTAAATTAAAAAAAAAACCTAATTATAGTCCCGTTTCTACAGCAGCCTTTTTCACATGAAATAATAGCTTAAACACAGCTGTTACCAATATTAATTAAGGTATAATTTCATGTTAAAACAACAGCTGTCACAAACATGTAGTGTAAAATAAGGTCATTACTTTCAGTGTGTTTTGGCGCTGCCTAGTGAACATTTGGGATACTGCAAGTTGACATTTAGATTAAAACTTGTGTTAAAAGTTGTAAGGTTTATTGACAGTATACAGTATAAAAGAAACAACTTTCAAAGTGTTTAAATCTTCTATTTGTTTAAAAAAAAAAAAAAAAAACAGATATTCAAGTTTACGACTGACAAAAGCCAGACAGCGTTGTGTAGCGGTGCTGTCATCGGCTCGTGCTCCGAGTCGCCTGTTTACTTAAGTAACTATTTTAATAAAACAAACTGAGAGCTGTCAGAAGAGAATCCGCTGGCTATTCTCTGTAATAGTAAAGTAAACACTGATAATATTTGGACTCTTCCATAATGTAGTTTATGGAGCGTGTGTGTCTGTGGGAACTCCATCTAATAATTGGTCAATTTCAATGTTTCTCTGGCACATTCACACAAGACTCAACAGCCAGTTCACAACATCCAACAATCCTTTAAGTGCTGTGATGAGCGATGCAAAGTGCTGCCGTCGCTAAAAGATTTTAATAAATATCAAAAACATATTCACTTTACTGGTATTTTTTTAATTTTTTTTGAAAAACAAACCATGTAATAAAAGAATTCGGGTATTCAGGAGTTTATATGAATATGTGACGCTTAACAAAAAGCAAACAAATGTCTTACAATGGGAAACAAGGAAATTAACTACATAATAAATACAATCTTTTTTTTTTTTAACACTATACAAGATGGTGTGTTACTGGAGGTGGGGCCTCTTGAGGGCCGAGAGTAACATGCAACACCATATTTCTACTGTATTGGTAGGTTAAGTCTTAACCCTGACCAAAGGTAGGTGGCGTGGGAATGTTTCAAGCAATACACACAGTACAGGCTGAAATATGAAGACTAAAAAAAAAACAAAAAAGGCATAAAAAGTTCACAAAGTCCAGAAATCTTGTGTTTCTCTATGTGTATCCTCGTGTGTGTTCGGGTCTTCCAGTCTGTTAAGTTGAATAATCCTGCAGGAAGAGACAGAGGACAAGAATTAAATAAAAGTCACTGAAGTAAAGACAGCGACTGCAGTCAGAGGAGCAACCATCAGTCACATTTAGGATTTCACAGCCTTTTTTTGGGGATTGTTGTGTCTTAAAATGCCTCATTTCACAGCTGTGTTTCTTAATGTTTTTAAGCATTTTTATTTTCAATGAAACTGTTGCAAAAGTTGTGAATACTTTTTTATATAATTAATTACATATCGAAGAAGGCAACTTGTGAGTGAGAATGAAATTGTAGTTTGGTGACGTATGGTTCAACATTTTCGAGGGACTGCTGTGACAAATTTAAGCAGAATTCAGAGTGTTTGGTTGAATTTGTGTTAATTATTGAGATCAGAAGCTCCTGAAGGGACCGAAAAATAAATCAGCAATTTGATACCTGACTAATTGTTGAGTAGTGACTCATTTACAAGCAAAAATGGCAAATCGTTTCTGTTTCCAGCTTCTAAAATGTGAGAATTTGATGCTTTTCTTTGTTTCTTCGATGTGTCTGAATAAATTATAATGACCATTTTCAATTAAGAAAATAATAGCCGGTTTAATTACCAACAAACACAATGCTTAGTTGTATTTTCAGATAAATAAAACAAATGAACTCAACTTACAGCTCTCGGTTTCTTGTTGACCTTCATGTCAAATCTGCAACAAAAACAAAAAGAAGCTTCGTCAGACATCAACGGATCACAAACCTGACTTTGGTGGGAATTACAGGAACAAAAAGCGGCACAACTAACGTATCATTAACAAGCCTGAACAACAAGCTCATAACAAGAACACTAAATGAACATGTGCTTGTTCTTGTTTGTGTGCGAACCCGAAGCCAACGCAGCCTCTGACAAGACCAGCAATGTTTGTTTTTGAATTGCTGGAAACGGCGACGCACACATGAAATGAATCCAGGGTCGGAAAGAAATCAAAAACACCCCAGAAACAAGCGGGAACATCTAAAGAGAGGTCAGAGTGCGGGGTGCTGATGTGCATTCGAGAGTTAAAGAATGAAGTGTTGGACATGCAGCGTGGTTGAACAACGAGCAGGCTTACACTCAAACTCTAGCTCAACAGAAGCAGACAGGGAGGAGGGGACGGAACGGTGGAAAAGTGGAGGATGAGGGTTTCACAGGCGGCAGGATGCAAACACCACAGGAGCAGGAAGTAAAATTCAGACTTACTCAAAGTCATAATCAAACATGGCAGAAGGACTGGGGGGGTGGGAGGGAGGGGGGCAGCATGAAGGGAAGGAAGAAAGAAAGCAGCAGCTGTTAGTCCACCAACCTGGGTCTAAAGCCCTACGTCTACCCTGAAACTGCAGAGAGGAGCGCCTGCTGTGTTAACGTGTGGGGGGAAACAGGTTGACGTTAAACAGGTGGGCAACACGGAGACATTAAAGGAGGAAAAGGACACCTGAAAACATCTTCTTTGGAAAACAAAAGGTCAAAGTTCGTTAACTCTTACAAGACTTCAAAAACGATCAGTGCTTTTACAAAAGTTTCTCCACGCGTTGGATCCTCAAAGAGTCTCGAGGTTTAAAGGTAAAGAATATCGTATTTAGTTTTTCCAGATATTATATTGAACTAGTATTTTAATGTATTATATATAATTAGGGTCGTCTTATATTTGAACCACTACGGTTTACTTTCATTTTGAGCTCTTCGGGTCTCTAAAAGTCCTTTAAATGGAAATAAAACTGAACTGCTCATGTTCAAAGGCTCAAAAGGCTTTAAGGTCTGACGAGAGGTCGTAATAATAAAAGTAGGCAGTGTTTAATTTTAGACGTCACAAGCACAAAGCATTGAACCACTGACTTATTCTATGGTTCATTAGAAGTCAAGAAACATCATGTTAGATTACAGAAACCAACCGTAACAAACCCTGCAGTGACAGCAGGATGCAGAGTTCATTTAGATACAAACAGAATCAATTTACCTCGCACTTTTACTGAAAATCAAACACAATTCAAACACTCGCACACCACTGTCAGTGAGATATCGTACAAGGTGCTCACTGAACTATCAGGAGCTACTGAGATTCACTGTCTCATTCACGACACTGACAGGAGCCTACCTGCTGAGTGACTACTGCCTGACTATTACACGTAGCTCTCTTCCTAGTTCCAAAATTAATTATCTTAATTAAAAGTCAGACTGAACTTGCAGGAAATGAGCTCCTAATACATTGACAGAGTAACATTCAGACCGGTCCCTTAAAGGGAGATCTGAATCATAATGAAGCTTCCTGAATGACTCGAGCTCAATCTGAACTGCTGCATGTAAACAGGTTTTACTACAGCGCCGTGTAAACAAACGTACCGATCGGCTACGAACAACCTCAGCTTCTCAATCAAGAAATCTGGAAAGTGGAAGTGAATCGACAGCAGTCAGAGATGCGGCAGTAAGCGATCACACCGCGTCTTCAATCTTCATCGTGTACCTGTGTCTGTTTTTGTTCTTCCTCTTCTTGTGGCTCCCGTGATGGCTGCCCGAGGAGGAGGAGGAGGCGGCCTTCTGGGGCTTCAGGTCCTGCAGCGTCGAATCCACGTCTTCCGTGTCCTCCTGGCTGGGCTCGTTCTCCTGGTTCTGGAGATCTGGAGAGGCGTCGCTTTCCGTGCCGCTGCCGGCCTCGCCTGACATCAACGACAGCACAAACTCAGCGGCAGAAACAAAAAGGACCGAAAACTCGGCTGGAGAGAAGCTGCAACAACAAACTCACGTTTTTCGTTCATGTGATCCGGGAGCCCGCCGAGTGCACATACTGCCTGCAAATCCAAACAAGAGAGAGAGAGAGAAGTTCTTTTCTTATTCAGAAAATGAGTGACTGATATATTGTGTAGAGAGAGAGAGAGAGGGAGAGAGGGATAGAGAGACAGAGAAAGAGAGACAG